TATTTTTTCACAACTTTGAGCCAATTTTTCACCATGATGCAAGATGATTCAAAGGAAACTTTCAACATAAAAGTTGTAGATATCAATGATATATAAAACATTTCTTTACACAACTTCTCCTAGAAATGCATGGATTTCAAGTTATGATTTTGTGAATAAATGTTCATGAAACTTGGAAACTTAGTGAAATTTTGCCCTAGTTTAGGCAGGATTTTGACCTACCTTCATAAAAATTTTAAACATAGTTCCAAGGGGAATTTTCAAAAGTGACCAACACAGAGGTTGTATATCATGTTACAATCTTTCCAAAATGTCCAAGAACTCATTGAGATCATGTTTGAGTAGGGAGAATCGAAGAGATGAAGTTGGCATTTCATTCTTGAATTATAGGTCATTTCCACGATGAACAAGAATTCAAATCCATGCTAGGCTGCACAATCTTTGCTTTGCATGCCTCAAACTTGCTTGGAAATCCATAATTAATGTTTTGCACAGCTGTTAGAGGCTTTAATCTAAGCATTCAATGCATTGCCCATGCTTAATGCCATTTTGGGAAGAAAGTGCACATTGCCATTTTGGAAAAGTAGCTTTTATGCACAAAATCAGTTCTCGAGCTTTGCATTTGTTTTATTCTGATCACACACAACCTATAACCCAAAATAAACTTGTCTAAATCCTCTAACAACTCAGCCCATGCTTATACTTTGCCTTGAAACTATATTTCCACTTTTCTTCAAAATCAAGTAAGAGAGCCATAACTCTATATCTTGTACTTCTGACCCTCTCAAGTGCTAGAACCTTTTCCATACTTATGCACAAGTTTTTTGCAAGCTAAGACACGATTTCAAGCCTCCAAAAACTCTCCAAAACACCCTTGCTGCACATAACTGTTCCACTTGACAATTTTGAGCCAAAACTCTCCATCTCCATTTCCACTCGTGAGTTTTGATTCTTAACCATCCAAACACCTTACTTATATCATACACAAGTGATTCAAGCCCCTGTTTCAAGACTGTAACTCCTCCATCACTATCCACCATTTCCAAAACTGAAGCTTGCAACTTGACTTGAGTTGGGAGTTTCAGCCATCCTCAAAGCAAAGTAGGAGTTGGAACACATTCAAGGAGGTCCAGGAAAGCTACAGAAATCATCAGGCCATCTCAAAGGTTGCTCAAACTCCATACACGACTCCAACTGCAAGATTTAAGTTTTCAAACTTCTATCTCTTTATACAAGCATCATTTGATTCTGATTTGTGAAGATAAAATGTAGATACCATTGCCACGAAGCTGTACATATCTATAGTTTGCATTTATATAGCCTGAGCTTAGAGAATTTTAGAGTTGAAGTTTCTGAAATTTTTAGCTTTTAAATTAGGGCCAGAAAAATTCTCACTCATCTTGGATTTATAGCTTTAGTTATTTATATGGTTGGATTCGTGGGAAGAAATGCCACAACCTTCATGTTTGTACTTTCCATTTTTGTTGAGAGATGAAGAAGTTACAGGTACTCTGGCTGGCTGAAGGTTGAAGACGAAGTACGGGCTTTGGAAGCATGTTACGTTATGTATTTATCATTTCATTTTAATAAACGAATGTATAGTCACCCCAGTGGTAAGGCAGCACGCTGGTAACCAAGAGGGCGTGGGTTCAACACCCAGCGCGCTACCTTTTTTCATTTCTCACATTTTTCTCACTCTTTTTTGTTTCGAAACAGCACGCCTGGGCCTCCATATTGGGCCTTTGTTCTTTTTTGCTGGCTTCTAATTCCCTACCTTACTTCAGCACCCCCTGGTCCAATTTTCATTATTATTTTCTTTTTCTTATTTTATTCGATTTCTTTTTCTTTTATTATTATTATTATTATTATTATTATTATTATTATTATTAATATTATTTTTATTGTTATTAATAAAAATCCAAAATTATTTTATTTATTATTTTTACACTTATTTAGTTTTATTTGTTTTATAAAACTAAAAGAACAAAAACATTTCCTTAATAAATTAAATTTTTTTTTATGAATTAATATTTAGGCTTAGGATTAATTACTACATTATTTTCTTTTTTTAATTAAAATTAATTTATAACTTAGGTTTACTTTAATTAATTAATTTTCCTATTATTTTTATTATTTAAAATCTTTTAATGAAAAACCCTAAAAAATCATTTTTAACTTATTATTCTTTGTTAATTAATTTAGGTTTTAATTTTAGTTAATTTCCATTAATTATTTTCTTAATTAGGTTAAGATTAAAACCTTTCATAAAATCAAATAAAAATCATTTCTTTTTCTATTTTGCATTCTTGCATTTTTTTATCTTCAATTTTGTACAATATTCAATACGGTTGTAATAGTTAATTATATTTAATTTTCTTGCAAAAATCCTCATTTGTAAATTTGTACACCCCTTCCCCTATTGATGTAATAGCTTAATATTTTTCCCCCCGCAATTTAATGCTTTATATATAAATGCTAGTAAATTAGGGTTTGTATGGAAAGATTAAAATCAACAAATTAGCAAACCCTAATACAAGACAAATCAAGCATGAAAAAGACACACTTGCACCCTTAGGGTAAATCCACTTGTTGCCTTGAGAAATAAATGGTCATAATACGCATGTAAGACGTCTTAGCAAAAACAAACAAAATACAAGATCATAATCCCTTGATGACGTTACAAATATTGCCTTATAAATGATCTTAGTCCCTTAAAGAAAATGCTAAGATATCTTACAACATTGTTATTCATGACTATACGATGACCCTTACCCGTCCCTTTTACATCCAAAGATAGGGTTTCTTACCAAATCAATGGTAAGATAACAATGTCAAAGGAAAGAAGAAATAAACAAGAAAGACTTTTGAGTAGGTAGAATGTTCCTAGTTGCTTGCTCATTTTCAAACCAAAACATCCTTGCTATTTTCAAAACAAACACCAACACTTTCAAAATATCTTTCAAACTTAAAACATTTTCAAAAGATCAACACTTTGTATACATTCTTACGAACGAGAATTATTACAAAGTTTGCCTAAACGATGACCCCTTTTCAAAATACTTTCAAAAACCACACAAAGCACATTTTCAAACAAAAGCAAGTGATCTAGCAATCAACTAAGAGCCCATAGATAACTATGGATAAAAAGGGTGCTAATACCTTCCCTTTTTATAATCTACCCCCCGAACTGAAGAAAATATCTCTAAAGATCTTTCCCGTTCTTTTCAGTCTTTCCTTTTGGATAAAAGAAAAGTCGGTGGCGACTCTTGCTAATCGCAACATTTGTGATAAAACGCAAAACAACCAAGTCAGTTCTCCTACCGCGTTACAGTTATGATGTCCAAATAGAAAGGTTTTGATATATAGATGTTGCAAGACTTAAATGTGGTATATTTGCTGATTTCATAATCATTTATCAGCCTTCTAATTGATTATGCAAGTGTTCCAATGGATTAGATTTATGAAATCCTTGTTAATCGATTGCCACATTTACTTAATATATTAGGTAGTTTAAAAAGATTTTAGATAGCTTTTTAATCTCTTGTATTTGGCATAGAAAAGTCATTTTAAGATAGAAAATTATATTTAAGTGTGTGTGTGAATTGCCTTAGTACTCTTAAGCTACTACTTTATCTTTACAATACTCAACTCACTCAGACTAAGTGACAGACATGACTTGACGAGTTTTCACAATTTTCATCAATAAAACTTCAAGACTTTACTGGATATTATCTAATTGCAAAAGCACTTGGTCTTGAGCCCTTATAAGATGACCCTTTATTCATCATTAGTATTGCAGTAGACTGTCATCATGCGTTGTTGTCATTAAAATTCTAAATACTAATCTTTACTACATGCAAGCACATAGATCCACAAATGTGAGTATACATAGTAAATGATGTACTATATAATCCTATGTGACACTAACTAAGTCAATATTGCTTCTTCATTGATCAGATTAATGACTTCACCAAAAAAAAAATCAATTATATGACTTTATCATTGAATTGATCAGATTAAATTTAAGTACTTATAATTTACCGTGAACTACTTCATTAACGTTCACCTTAGACTGACTAGCATAAAAAAGACAAAAGAAAATTGAAAAAAATGTTAATTTAAAAAGAAAATCTTTTAAAACTAACAAAAAAAATTTGAAAAATTAAAGACATTTCTACAATCTAATTAGCCTCATTTGTCTTAATTCCCCTTTTCATTTATAAAGCTGCATGGGAATAATGAAGTGTGATCACACCTCAAGTAAGTAGGCAACAATGTTGGTCCCACATTTCACCCTGCAAATAATTGTAGTAACGTATAGAAGTAGTTTTAAAATTGAAGTTATCTAATCTAAGAAAGTGTGATGATTTTTATTCTCGGCAAAAATAACAAACTGTAATAATTCTGTCCAAAATAATAATAATAGAAAAATAAAACCAAAACCAAAACCAAAACCAAAAAACATTTGGATGAGATGACGGAAGTTTATTCTAACTTAATAAAAAAATTTAGTTCGAATTCAGTCTTAATCACACATTATTAATTTTTTTTTAGCTAAAATTGACCGTCTATTATGATTCTACCAGACTTAGTCTCTAAATTCCGCAGAAAATATAAAATTTATAAAAAGTAATAATAAAACTGGGAAAGAAACGAAAATAGAAAATAGAAAAGTAACCAAAGACAAACAACAGAGTGTCGTTTAATATTCAGTACAGGCGACTGCTTCTTCTTTTTTTCTTTTTCTCTCATTCTTCTCCTTCATACCCATCTCCATAATAATTAGGTAAATTTCTCACCTTTTCTTCTTTTTCTCTCTCACCCCCTTTTTAATTTTGTACCCCCTTTTTTCTGTTCACAGTTATTGATTCAATATTTACTTTTTTTGTGTGTGTGTGTGTACTTGCTGACTTTAATGGTGTAGCTTGTAGGTTATGAAGTTGTTGTGTTTGTGGTGAGAGGAAAATCATTTTTCATAGGTTTTGGTTTCTTCTGTGATGATGGCACAAAACTTAACGGAGCAGCTTGTTGGTTCAGAGATACATGGCTTCCACACTTTGAGTGGTACAAAAAAAGATTTATATGCATTCTTCTCTTTCTGTTCATTGATGAACTTGGTTTTAATTGGATTGACTTTTAACTTAGGGGAGTTTGTTAGTTATGATAATTACTTGCTTCTTCACTTAGAAATAAAGGCTTTTCCATTATCTATAGGTGCTTTTGAAGATGCTAGAAAAAACATAAACTAATTTCAACTTTATGTTAAGAATGGTGAATTGAAGTAGAAACAAATGACTGCAGATTTTGTAATTGTTAGTACTTGTTAGCATCTCATACAACTAATGGCTAATTTTGTGAGCTTTAATTGGGTGTTCAAACAATAGTGTTTCGACATAAAGCTAAGACTTTTCTTATTTCTACTATTAGGAGTGGTAATATTGATCATCAATGTTAATTTGTTGTTCTAAAGTTTTTTTTTTTTTTTTTTTTTTTTGTATATGGCTTAGATCTTGATGTTGGGGAGACTTTGGAGGAAGCAAAAAGCAGATGGCTTCGTCCAAATGAGATTCATGCCATTCTCAGCAATTACAAATATTTTACTATCCATGTCAAGCCATTGAATTTGCCCAAAAGTATATTGCTATCCAAAGTAACTTGACGTTTCTTGATTAGATTCGCATTTCCATATATATACTATATAATATGGTCAATCATATTTATTTTTGTCTGTTTCAACTCCTATTTCTTAGTTTGCATCAAACTTTTTGATTTTCTTGCGTCCTACTCCAAAGCATTTAGTTTGCATACTTCTAGACTCTTCAGTTCTTGTTGAACCTTTTCTCTACAAATAGTAAATAAAAAGTGAAATAGAATAAGTGCATGTGCATATTTATGCTTTGTTCAACTGTACACGTAAGGAATATAAAGTCTCCGGTTGATTTCTGGCATTATTTGTTTTGTAGAACTCTTAAATAGAATTTTGATTAAGTGGTTACTTTGCATCTAAATGACATGTGTTCGCGTTATTATGGATTATATGATGTCAAACAAGATTTGAGTTCTCAATGCTAATTTTACCATAATTGTGTTTAAAACAGGTGGTACTGTTGTACTATTTGACCGCAAGATGCTTAGGAACTTCCGAAAAGATGGGCACAACTGGAAAAAGAAAAATGATGGGAAAACTGTTAAAGAAGCTCATGAGCATTTAAAAGTCCGGATTTCATCATTCATAACTATATTTATTATCTTACCTTTGTCAAAAGATTACACTGTTTATTTTCTACTAAAATCTTTTTCTTCCTACAATTTTTGTTATACTTGATTCTAATGTTAGTTTGAGTTACTATAGATTAATGTATCTGATTGATTGTTGACATATTTCCTGTCCATTCTTATTCCCCCCTATCAATCAGGTTGGTAATGAAGAGAGGATCCACGTATATTATGCACACGGCCAAGATTACCCAAGCTTTGTTCGAAGATGTTATTGGCTGCTTGATAAGTATGTATTTCAATGTTTATCTTAACCCTTAAGGTCTCAATTCCTATATATCATGTATGCATGTTCGTATTTGTGATCTAGGAATTAGTGATGGTGTTTTTATATTTCTTGCTTTATTTTTTCTTCTTCCGTTAAAAGGGGTAACCCAGTGCACGAGGCTCCCATTTTGTGGGCTCTGGGGGGTCGGATGTACGCAGCCTTACCCCTGTTTTTTATAACAGAGAGGCTGTTTCCAGCAGGGTTCGAACCCATGGCCCCAGGCGACTTACAATTATTGTTGTTTTGTTTTCAGGAGTTTGGAGCACATAGTCCTTGTTCATTATCGTGAGACACAGGAGGTCGTGTTAATCATTTTCTTTCTTCCTTTTCCTTTTAAAAATTTAACTCGGCCTGACAAATAATGGTGTAGTATGTGTTGCTTTGCCTGATAGAAAAACCCATGTGTAGTTTTGGTTTTGTGATGTATTTGTATTTCCTTGTTTACCAACGAATGTGTTTAAGGGTATCCCAAGTCTTGAAATTTTTTGTTGAAAATGAATTTATAGCAAGTATATCCATCTTTGTATTTTCATGGGTTGAAATCACAATGAAAATTGAACAAAAATAACAATTCATGCTCACTTTAGAGGAGCCTTGTCTTCCAAATCGGGATGATGGTTGATGGATATGTGTGATTGATGCTTTACCATGTGATCTATTTATTGAATAAAATTTGGCTTGCTAACGTTCATTAGGTTATGGATTGATACAGTCTCAAGGCTCTCCTATTACACCGGTAAGTTCATTAGGTTGTGGATTGACACAGTCTCAAGGCTCTCCTTTTACGCCTGTAAATTCAAATTCGAGCTCTATTTCTGATCCAACTACGTCGTGGATTCCATCGGAAGACTTAGATTCTGGAACCAATAGTGCTTTTACTAATGGTGAGAAATGACATCTCAATAATTGTTGTTGTATTTTGTTATTGTTGTCATAGATACTGTTGTTTTCTTTCCTTGACTGTCTGTACATATTTTCATTCCCTTTACTGTTTTGGAGAAAAACAGGGCTGAATGGAAATTTAACAGGTAGAAGTCTTGAACAGAAGCTTCATGAGCTCAATACATGTGAATGGGAAGACCTAGTGGCTTCACATGGTAATACCACTGCTATACCTAATGGAGGAGGTAATTTTTTGTGCAAATGTACTTTATCAGAACCCGTGGCTTTTTGAGAAAGAATCTTACAATTTAATACTTAAATTTAAATTTTGGCAGGCAACGAATCACATTTCTATCAACTAAATCAAAGGTTAATGAATGGAAGCGTTGGCAATGTAAGATGATTTTTCCTTTCATTTGTGTTATCTATTATGATCGTGTTGTAAAAAAATGTTATTTATTATAATCAATATCGATCAATATATATTCCTCAGGTTTTTCTGCTTCCTCTTTCTTTTTGTGATACTTGCTTTGTACTTGTACAGCTGTTGTTCTAACCTATACAGAGTTTTTATTACCAGGTTGCCGGTAGTCCTGGAGAAGTTCATTCTTTTGGTAATTCACCTCCACTAGAGTCTGGGACTAGTAATGTTTCCTACAGTTTCCAAGAATGTGTTAACCCTCGAGAGAATCATGCTATCACTTTTGGTGGTGTTGATTCCGTGGAGAACACTTTAGTCAATAAAGGCTTGCAAAGTCAGAACAGCTTTGGAAATTGGATGATGAATGCCATATCTGATACACCATGTTCTGCAGAGGCATCGGCTCTTGAATCATCGATTGCTTCATCTGTTCATGATCCATTTTCATCCCTGCCAATGGAACATAATCAACAACCTTCACTGCCGGAACAAGTGTTTCATCTCACTGAACTGGCCCCTGCTTGGGCTTCTTCCACTGAAAAAACAAAGGTTTCCTTTTGCTTTTTCAATATGTCTAATTGCAACTAACTATTTTGTTATAATATCCTTCTTTTCCACCATTCTTTTGCAATTATAACTGAACATTCATGTTGCTTTACTTCTTGCAGGTCCTGGTAACTGGATATTTTCACAATGATTATCAACACTTTGCAAAGTCCAATCTAGTGTGCGTCTGTGGCGAAACAATTGTTCCTGTAGAAATTGTTCAGGTTGGAGTTTACCGATGCTGGGTAATGCCACATTCTCCAGGATTCGTGAATCTCTATTTGAGCTTTGATGGCCATAAGCCTATTAGCCAAATTGTTAATTTTGAGTATCGTACTCCTATTTTGCACGACCCTACTGCTTCGATGGAAGATACATACAACTGGATTGAGTTTCGACTTCAGATGAGGCTTTCTCATTTGCTTTTTACAACACAAAAGACCCTTGATTTATTCTCTAGTAAAGTATCACCTACTGCACTCGAAGAGACTAAAAAATTCGCCTCCAGAACATTATTTATTTCCAAAAGTTTGCAACACTTTATGAAATCGTCCGACGCAAACACACCTCCATTTCCGCAAGCAAAAAATACCTTTTTCGAAATTGCGTTGAAGAACAAATTAAGGGAATGGCTTTTGGAACGAATTGTACTACGATGCAAGACTGCGGAATATGATGCACACGGGCAAGGTGTGATTCATCTGTGTACACTTCTGGGATATACTTGGGCTATTACATTATTTTCATGGTCAGGCTTGTCGCTCGATTTCCGTGACAAATTTGGATGGACAGCTCTCCATTGGGCAGCATATAATGGAATGTATGATGATCGATGCGATTTTATTATTAATACTTTCTGTATATGCATTTAATCCTTCTAATCTAGTAATAAGCCTGAACGAACATATCATTGTCTGTTTGTTTGATTCGAAATTTATCTTCAGGGAGAAAATGGTTGCAACTCTGTTGTCTTGTGGGGCAAGGCCTAACTTGGTGACAGATCCAACTCCACAAAATCCCGGTGGCTGTACTGCTGCTGACCTTGCTTACATGAATGGATATGATGGTTTAGCCGCTTATCTTTCGGAAAAGTCTTTGGTTGAGCAGTTCAATGACATGAGCTTAGCTGGAAATATCAGTGGTTCACTTGAAACAACCACAACTGATCCAGTAAATCCAGAGAACCTTACCGAGGACCAATTGTACCTAAAGGATACATTGGCAGCCTACCGAACAACAGCTGAGGCAGCAGCACGCATACAAGCTGCGTTTAGAGAGCACTCACTGAAACTGCGTTATCAGTCGGTTCAATTTAGCAGCCCGGAGGAGGAAGCACGCCAAATAGTAGCAGCAATGAAGATTCAACATGCCTTTCGCAACTTTGAGACAAGGAAAACGATGGCAGCCGCTGTTCATATTCAGCATAGATTCCGTACGTGGAAGTTGCGGAAAAAATTTCTCCACATGCGATGTCAGGCTATAAAAATTCAAGTAAGAGCTGCTCTTCCATATCTGTTATTTTATGTTCTCTATGTGCTCTCTAAAATTCTAAATATAAACGATAGAAACTAAAGCAGATAAAATTCTTTCCTAGATCTTGAGAGATATTCAACCAACAGATTTTGTTCACTAAAAGTTGCTTCTTCTTGAGTTGTTGCTACAATTCAGAGAATCTTTTCTTCTTTACTAAATAATATACATATCTTGAAAAGCTTGATTGCTTTTATATTCAATGCAGGCTGCATTCAGGGGCTTTCAAGTGCGTAGGCAATATCGTAAGATTTTATGGTCTGTTGGAATTCTTGAGAAAGCAATCCTTCGTTGGCGTTTAAAGAGAAAAGGATTCCGTGGGCTTGAGGTGAGTCCTGTCGAAGACATGATAAATGAGAAGCATGAAAGCGACGTAGAAGAAGAGTTCTTTAAGACCGGTAGGAAACAAGCAGAAGAACGTGTTGAGAGGTCTGTGGTACGTGTACAGGCAATGTTCCGATCGAAGAAAGCACAACAGGAGTATAGCAGGATGAAGATGGCCCATAGTCAAGCAAAGGTGATTATAATAAGATAAATCATATTTTGACAACAAAAATTGACAACAATTTGGAGGCTTAACGCCGTTCAAATATTTGGTTAATGAGTCGCAACACATTTTTTTCTATTCATTAACCATCTACTAAACGTAACAACCATGTATTTGAACTGCATTAACTACTTATGTTTTTGTCGAAACTTTGTTATTCTGTTTTGTGCCAAAATAACACAGTTCCTAAAACAAATAAATGCAAATTTGTTGTTATGAATAGATTTGACATGGTTATTTACTAGTTAGAATTGTTTTGTGCAGCTGGAACTTGAATTAGAAGACCTTCTCAATTCTGATGTGGACATGTTAACAACAAAGACAGCATAGGTTCCTATGAAATGTTTATGCTTATGAAATGTTTAGACTTGTGTAATGCAACAAACTAGTGATAATTTGTTTTTTTTTGTTTTTTGTATAGCATGTAGATGCTGTAAATTTCATAGTGTGTAATTTCAACTTATGATGACCCTTTCAAAATGCTTTAATATTTTGAAATGGGGTCATCTTTAAAGCTTACAGCTTAATTAGGTGTTTGCTGGATGCTTCCGAGGCGTTCCTTAAGGTGATAAGACATAATTGTTGTCAAGGCTTTTATGTATTGATAAAGTTTCCACTTTATAATGAATGGTTAATGTGGAATGGAACATTATCATAAAGTAATTGATTACATTCATATCATATGGTTTCATTCCACCTGTTCTAATTAGAGAAACAAAATTCATAACTTTTCTAGGCATGCTGTTTTTCATATGATCATATTCCACAATACCAAACAGTTCTCCAAATTCACTCAATTAATTATCCAACTAAGCTTTAGTTAGGGTTGGCATGAGACCAACCAAGTACCTCCATTTGGTTATAGTTATCAATTTGATATTCAAATTATGAATCTAACATAGTCATTAATAAAAATAATATTTTTAAGTGAAATAAGTGATATATTAAATGTATATATAAGTTGGTGTAATATAAAAGAACTTCAAAATTGAACTCAAATCAAACCAAAAAAGTCTCTAGAGTATTAATCTTGATAGCGGTACCGAGCGGCGGACTCAAAAATAGGATAATGTAATAGTAAATTGTCTGCCATAAGAAGTGCTGGGAGAAGAACGGAATGGAAGGGTTGAAGTGCAAAGACGAGTGTTGAGAATTGAGGAAGTAACTTGTGATTTTTCTTTAGAAGAGTTAGAAGTGCAAAAACGTTGAAAGTAGGGTTGAATCCTGATTGAAAAATTCAAAATCATCTTTAAAACGTTTTAAATTTATAGGGTAATTTCGGTTTTTTTAAAGAGAAAAGGGATAGCATAACAAAAATCGGCCCAAGCCGCTGCAGTGTTCTGTACTACTAAGCCTCTTTCCATATCGGCCTACCTCTGCTCCACTCTGCTGTAGCGAGATAGCGCCACTATTGACTACTCTGGTCTCCTCCTCATACAAAGTTGAAGTGTACTATTGACTACTCTAGTCTCCTCGTACAAAGTTGAAGTGTCCAACCACTCAAAACATAATCCAACTAGAATGCGAGATTATGTGAATTATGGAGCTGTAAGGAGATATTCAAACTAACATTGTATTAAAATCCTGGCCATAAAATCCTAGCCATTATCATAAGGTAGATATAAGATAAAACACTGCTTCCATTCACATGTAAGAAGAAAAAACTGTATTAAGATTCTTCAAAATTATTTAAGTTTCTGCCAAACCATTCCATCCTATAACATAATCAAGTACTTCAAAAAAAACCTCTACAGATACAAATGTTATTACCATGTAATATTACTTCAGTTGTATCAAATAATCCAATCAAAAGCAAAAACAAAAGGTAAGTAACTTGTGATTTAACTGCAGAACAGTGCCTAGTTGACCAGCAAACAGATTGGACTCTATTTGATATATTGTGAAAGCCACTGGAAGCCTTCGCCATATCCCATCTTGCGGACAATGCTGCACATGAATACTTCAAGAGGTCGGACGTTGGAGTCTATAAGACTCACCTTTCCTTTACCGGTGGTGAAATTGGTTAAGCCGAGATGATACCGTAGCTCGTCTTCTGAAGCTGCATATGGGATGTCAATCTTGTTTCCTAGAATAAGAAATGGAACATTTGCCAGGGACTCGTCTGAGAGCAAGGCATCAAGCTCCTTCTTAGATTCGGCAAACCTCTCTTTGTCGTAGGCATCGACTAGGTAAACTACCGCATCCACCTGGACAAACAGTCATGTCAAAAACAGTCTCACGAGTGCTTATGCAAATAGATAAGTTCAAATAAGTGAATCCAACCAAATCATATATCAATTCAAATCTTCGTCTTTAAGTGCCTAAAAGAGATGATTAAAAGGAAAAAATACATGTGTGGAAGGCAACTAGTAAACACCTCCTGAAGGGTTTAAAGAGGTGCTATCAGCGAAACTTCCTGTTACTTTATGCCTCCCATGAATCAGATAAATACAAAGAGCTTTATCTGGGATTATGAAGGCATAAACTTCAGAAGCAGTGAACACTTGTGTAAAATTCAGCTAATAATTGTGCTACATTAAATTATAACCAAGAATGAATCATAAAAAGTTGCACAAATCCAGAATCTAAAATGTAGATGTTGAATATTTCAAATATTTATAGCAACAGCATCAAATGATCGCCGCATATGAAACTCTAGCATTCCATACACCTATGAAACACTAATTCAAACATAACACTAGACACAAGACTAACACAGCCATGACATCAGACACGTCACTAACACGTCAACACCACCAATAATAATATGAGAAAACTAATGATTTGAATGTAATCACATCTGTTGATATCGTGTTGGTGTAGGACACAAATGTGTGTCAGTGCTACCGAGAGTAACACTAATTAACAAGCCAGCACAGGCAGAAAGTCATAACCAAAACAAACAATAAATTTGTTTAAGAAATGCTATTTGAACGTAAAAACATTCAAATAAGGGCCTAAAGAAGCTACAAAACAATTGAGGTTTTGAACATCTTAGTTGCATCAATACTAGAAATTCCCAGACTATATACGACATTGACACCATACTAATATAAGAAAATGAAAGTGTTGAATATGCCGCAGAAGTCAGACACTGACACATGTCATACCTCAGAGACACTTTCATCCAAAGTGTTGGCACAACATAGATCACAACCTTGACAAGCAATGGAGCTTCAAAAATAAAACAGCACAGAAGCTATCAACAGTTATTGGAAGCTATTTTCCAATCAGCACAAAAGGCACTAACACAAAAGTAAATCTCTTAAAAACCAAGTTGAAACAAATTAACAAATCATCACTAAAAACAAATCTCACTTTCATAAACTCAAAATCACACCAAGAATTGCAAGTAGTCGCTTAAAAAACAAGAAATTAATAATTAATAATCAACATAAAGATCTAAACCCAAAACAAACAGACCTTAGCATAATAGTCTTTCCAAACTCTACGGGCAATTTGATGACCACCCAAATCAAAAGCTTTAAACTTGATCTTCCCAATACTCAATTCCTCCGAAGTGGGATGTTGGGTCGGCTGATGTTGAACTAATCTCTGCAATAAAAATTGAAAAACGTTATAAAAATCAGATTTTTTTATAAGATGATGAAGGATTAAAGATGGAAAGGATTGATTCACCTCATCTTTGAGCATGTGAAGAAGGGTAGTTTTGCCGGCATTATCAAGACCAAGGAAGAGAATCTTGGCTTCTTTTTGCCAGAGACCAAGGGAAGCAAGAATGCCATAGAACCAATCAAAGATGAACATAATTGGTGATTAGAGAGATAGATCTAAACCTACAACTTGAGAAAGAATGGGTAGGTTTGAAATCTGAGATGGTGGATCGAAGGAATGAAGAGGAAGGAACCGCAACAGATCCCAGAGAGAGAGATCACGTGTCTCAGTCTTTGACTGTCCCTCTTGGCTAGTTAGTTCAGCTTTGCAAAACGCATGTGAATTCAACCTCACACCCCCAAAATTAAACCTGCACCCACCCACTCTCGGAATTATTTGACCATGATATCCTTTAAATAAAAATAAGTGAAATTGTAAAAATAAAATTGATTATTTGGGATTTTTCAAAACATATAGTAAGATTTTGGATTTTTAGGAGTTTAGAGAATATTCATATCAAAGCTTCTTTTTTTTTTGTGTGTTTGATAAGTTTTTACTACATTTTTACTATATTCATAAATATTTTGATATATATATATATATATATATATATATATATATATATATATATATATATATATATATATATATATATATATATATATATATATATATATATATATATATATATATATATATATATATATATATATATATATATATATATATATATATATATATATATATATATATATATATATATATATATATATATATATATATATATATATATATATATATATATATATATTGTATTTATGTCGGATTTCAGAAAGATCGATATTGAATTTTTATGTTTTGTTACATTTTTTTTTTTAAATTTCAATGTAAATTTATAGGTTATATCAGTTTTCTCAAAACTCTCAATAGGATTTATATAGTTTATACCAATATTTTAAAAAATTCGATGAAATCTCATAAAATTGAGTATTTAGATAATCTTGATAAATTTGCTTAGGAGTGACACCATATTTTTTAAAGATTTGATAGTTGTTTTTTTAAAAAATTTAATTGGTTATCTTT